TGAAAATATTGTCGGGCATAAACCGGTCCGTGGCGCAAAAAGGGTTGGAGACCGCTGCTCTAAGTGATAATGATGTGAAATATTTCACACTAAAGGTGTTAAACTCTGAACCGACTTAAAATGCAAAACTCTAACTGGAGTTGGCCGATATTAGACACAATAAAAAGGTTATTGGTCACACCAGAACAGGTCCAGCAAGAAAATATGAGGTGAAGCAATCTGACATTTCCTCCTTAAAAATTCCACACTGTTGCTTTAATAGCACCAGGGGAAAAAAGGACGCTGCAAGACTCTTCTAGCACTTTGGCCATTGCAGTGTTTCACTGTGAGTTTTTAATGATACAGCAAACAGGCGTGAGGCACCAGCGCACAGCCGATCATTCAAGTAAATGTGCACGGACAACGGTGCTAGAGTAACAGGAAGCCTGCTGTGCTCTTTTATTACCTAAGAGTTACTGGAATTTACAGTTGGTGACAAATCACCAGGGCATGAATACGTCATGAGGCTGGTTCAGTGGCTGATGGAGCAACAAGGATACAAGGTGTACGGTTCTGGTTGGGCGTGATTTAGGAGAGGCTCTTAAACGGCTAAAAATGACCATGGACCAAAATAACGTCATGAATGACTAATGTCAAATATCCTGCAGAGACCTTAATAATGAGGTAAGAAGACTGTACTCCAACAATGGTAGAAATATTGTGAAGTTATGTTAAACTACACTACAGTCAGTTTATTAAATACATTTCTTTTTGAAGTACTTAAGTAAAATGGCCAAATAGGCAGCATTTAAAGTGGTCCCGCCTCAAGCTGCTCTAATTTGAAGTTATTAATGCATCTGTTGTAACACTGATAGCAGAACATGACTTGGCTCTGATATTTCACTCTAACACTTCTGCACTTTTACTGAAGTGAAACATTTCAAACGCAGGACATTACTACTTTAATGTAGATTACTATCAGTGGGAAATAGACTCACACTACAGTTAGCCTCTGTACATCAGTAACCGAAGTGCAGACTTTCTGCTTTAAAGTCAAGGAGTTCAACACAAATACTGCACCTGGTGAGAGCAGTTCATTTGTTATTTCATGACAAGATAAAAGATCTGCAGCTGACTGGTGCTAAACCTTTTTTTAAGCAGCTTTCATTGGAGCTCTCGAAATGACATCACTAAGCTGAAGAGAAAACTAAATCTTAGAAACAATGACTGCAACACCAAAAGAGCTCAGAGAGCACAGTAGGGAGCTAAAGTGCATGATGACAGAATTATTTCCATGATTAATAAGAACAACTTTACATCTAACCAAGACAAAAACACTCTGCAGGAAGCGTATTGAGTCTACAAGAGGAACTTGCTGCACAACTGAGCAGACAGAGCTTCACCGTGCACGTGCATAATGAGCCAAAGAAAACCAAAGAAATGAGAGTTTCTTCAGCGTCACCTGATCTCAACCCACAAACAAGCACCTGAAGGCGACTGCAGTAATGGCCTGCAGGACATCTCCAGAAGGAAAAGCAACTGAACTTCAGTCAGGAATTACTTAGTATTAAAAACAATCCTTATATTTAGAATTATTACAATAATCCTGTTTGTCAAATATGTTTTGAGCCTCTGGAAAAACAGGGCTGTGTATAAAAACGCCTGCAATTCATGCAAAATGTTTGTTAGACCCGTTGAATTAAAGCTGAAAGTCTGAACTTTAATCACACTGTGATGATGTAACAGCAGTGTTGGGAAGGTTACTTTTAAAATGTATTCCATTACAGA